CGTTCCGCAAATTTGTGTATCCCATTTTCTTGTCTTGCCTCCGTCTGAGCGGTGTCCAGATCCGGGTCTCCACGTAATGCTGACTCATATAAACGCAGGAAATCTCGGTGTCTCGTGTCGTACCATGCAGTTGGTGCACTCCTCGTGCACACGTTGGCTTCTTGTCCGACGTCTATCCCGTCAAAGTCGTCACCGCCACTCTCCGGACCTGGTCGTCGTGATAGAGCGTCAGCAGCCCCGTTACAGCTCCCCTTTCGGTAGCATATCTCGAAGTCGTAGTCTTGCAGGAATTCACTCCATCGCGCCTGTCGTCGGGACAGATTCTTTTGGGTCTGTATATGTCGTATCGTCTGGTGATCGGTGTGTAACTGAAATCGTCGCCCCTCCAAAAGATGCCGCCAGCCCCTTAACGCATGAATGACGGCCAACATTTCCTTGTCGTAGGTGTGGTATCGCGTCTCGGCCCCTCCAAGCCGTCGTGACAAGTATTCGACCGGTTGTAGTCCCTTTCCTTGATCTTGCATCAGGACTGCCCCTGTGGCATAGTCGCTTGCATCGGTCATGACGACAAACGGTAAATCGTCATTTGGCAAAAGTAGTAGTGGAGCTTGAGTCAGCTTGTCCTTCAAGGTCTGAAACGAGATCTCTTGTGCGTCTCCCCATACGAACGGTTCTTGTCTCTTGGTGAGGTCTGTCATCGGTCGGGCCACAGAGGCGAACTTCGGCACAAATCTTCGGTAAAAATTTGCGAGCCCGAGAAAGGCTCTGACGTGATGGACATTTCGCGGTGTTGGCCACTCTTGCACCAACCGAATCTTGGTGTCGTCTGGTCGGGCGCCTCCCTTCCCGACCACCACTCCCAGAAACTCCATCTCGTCACAAGCATAGGTGCACTTGTGTGGCCTCACCACCAATCCATGATCCCGTAATCGTCGCATGACGACTCGCAGGTGCTCCATGTGTTCTTCCATGTTCTTGCTGTAAACCAAAATGTCATCCAAGTAGATGACCAGAAATGTATCTGCCACGTCGCCGAAGATCTGGTTCATGTATCTCTGGAAGGAACTCGGCGCGTTGCACAATCCAAAAGGCATTACCAGGAATTCGTAGCTCCCATGTCGTGTGACGAATGCCGTCTTCGGTATATCCTCCTCCCGTATGCGTATCTGATGATAACCGGACCGTAGATCCATCTTGCTGAATATGGTTGCTCCTGACAACCTGGCCATCAGGTCGTCTATGCGTGGCAGTGGATATCTGTCCTTGACACTCCGTCGGTTCAACGCTCGGTAGTCGATGCACATTCGCAGCCCGCCATCCTTTTTCTTTGCAAATAACACCGGTGCTCCCCATGGTGAGCTGCTTGGTCGGATCAGCCCGGCGTTGAGTAGCTCCTCAATTTGCCTCTTTAATTCGTCGTTTTCCTTGGGAGAAAGTCGGTATGCAGGTGTGTGTGCTGGCTTGGCATCGGGTAGTAATTCGATGCTATGCTCTGGTCGTCCTTCTGGCGGAAGTCCCAGACGTATCTGGCTGCTCATGACTTCTGGAAATTCTTGTAATAGCAGGCTTCTAATCTGGTCGTCCGTTTTCTCGTTGGCTGCCTTCTCCGGCTGCACGCTTCGTACTACTGCCACATATGTTTCCGCTCCTTTCTTGAGTGCTTGGTGTAATCCTTTGCCGGATAATGTCATTGCGTTGATTCTTCGTGCATCTTCATCCAGCTTCCTGATCCCGCATAGGGTCCAAATTCGATTCCCACTTTTAATCCGCAGGGCATTGGCCTCCCACAGAATTTCGGGGTTGTATCTTCGCAGCCACGACACTCCCAAGATGATGTCGTATCGTCCGAGTTTCGTGACTTGGAACGTTGGTTGGCACTTGAATTCATTGATACGCAGTTTGTAACCCTTGACCTCCCGTTCTGGTTCGTGTCGCGCTGACCCATCTGCCATGTGCAAGGTCTGCGACTTGCCCGTCTCTCTCCAGCGGATGCCGTTCTGTTCACAGAATTCTTGGCTGATGAAGTTTCCAGTGGCTCCGCTGTCGACCAAAACCAATCCTTTCCTTCCACCCAGCGTCCCCTTGAAGCGGAGCAGATTTGCTTGTTGTCGCCGTATTCGGTTTATTTCGTCGGGTGTCGTGGGGCTGCAGCTTCCAATTTCATCACTCCTCTTCTGCGCCTCTTCCCATTGCTTGTAGCTTGCCACTATGTCGTCGTACTCCCTCCAGCTTCGAGGCTCCTTATACAGGCCCATTTCGTGGACAATGCTCCACCATCGCGCTTGCCTTCCGCGCCATTGCCTCACTTCGTTTCTCACAGCCGTTTTTTCCTGCCGCGTTCTGCAGCTCGTCTCGTCCACTTGTGCCGTCATTTTCCTGACGCACTCTGTTCCATCCTCACACACACAGTGGGCCGGCTCTGTTGGGATACGGCACCCACGCGGTTCTCCGAATTGCCGCAGTGGTTTGTCGCCCTCAAGCTGCCCGTGTATGCTCATCCCGGTCGCTGGGTAGCCCGCGTAGCTGACGTCTTCCTGACGCCCAGCCGTGCCTTTACCCTTCACTCTTCTTTCACTCGCCCTCGGGGCAGGCCTTGCGGCTGACGCCTTCGTGACGTCCAGCCCTGGTTGCCCTGGGGCGGCCTCTTCGTTGTCGCACTCCGGCGCACAACGGAACTTCAATACTCTCCTCGTGGAGCCTCCCACGCGGTTGACGACTTCGTGACGTCCCGCCGCGCCACTCCTCGAGTATCACCAGCCCCCCCCACGCAGCCTTGAGGCCCTGCCGCCTCTGCTCGTGGGTCAGGTCAACACGGAGCGCCTTCGTGTCCTCGGCAGCTCCTCTGGCTCCGAAACCAGTTGTAAGGGGAGGCGGAGCCTTGGCGGCAACTCCAGCCTCGTTGGTCCAATTCGGGACTCAAGGAACGCGAAAACTCACGGTTACAAAAAGGGCGCGGTGCCGCCATATTTATAGGCGCCCGCTCGGGAATCTCAAGGGTCATGCCAGAAACTGAGTGAGTTATCCTCAATCTGGCATGCCCGCCAACTTGCGTTCGAATGTTTGTGTCCCGTTTGCATTGCCATTTGTCCCGCAGCCTCCGCTGCCCTTTGGCCCCACTTATAATCATTTCCCGGACTTGCCAAGCGCTTCCCGCACCTGACCCATTGGCTAACGTGTTCTAACAACACGGGCTGGTTGCCCAGCCACTAGAAACATATCCAGGAAGACGATGGCTGCCCTCACAGGGAGCCCACTCCCCCGGCGGAGAGGCATGGGTGATGGCAGAGGAGGGCATGGTGCGCATGCCAACAGGTGGCCTCTGATGATGTGACAACTGTTCAGATGATTGGACGACATAGGGCGTCATTGGGAAGACTTGGAGGGGCACTGGTGGACTTCTTGGAGATGTGCGGCAGTTAGGGACCTCGATACGGGTATGCATTTTTTATATTTTTGAGTTGAAGAGACGTCTTTATGGATAGTAGGGATCTGTGGGATTGAGTGAAGTTGAGAGAGTGGGGTACGAAGTGATTGGGTCATTCTAGGCATCATAAGGGGTGGATACAATTGTGGGTCCTGGCAGTTTTGGGGTGAAGTGGCCTCTTGAGGTGAACCCTTTGGGTGGACCCTTGTTTTGTCGTATGAACTGATGGACAACGATGTATAAAGTGGTGGGGGTGTGCAGTGTCGCCTCCCCCGGTCTGTAAGAAATTTTCTCTTGAGACTAGAGCACCAAAAAGGCCGCCTCGCGTGACGAGTGTGGGACCTTAAGGTCGGGTGGGTGAATCCCTTGGGAGGGGAGAGCCCTGTGTCCTGTGAGATTCCCATGTGCCTTGTTGATGATACCGGTATACGGTGCATGCGCATGTCGAATTCTGCTGCGCCCACCCCGAAGGGTCGTGCCATGTATCGGCACCGATCTTTACAATCCCCATTTTCGAGAATGGCGCAACAGTGTCCGGAAACAAGATGGGAACCACACGCGAAGACAAAGCCACCAATCTCACGCCCCCGGGGTCCCTGTCAGAACCTCACCACCTCCACGCGCCGCCATCCCACAAACGCCAACCCCACGGAACGGCTCCTGTGGCTGTGAGCGTCTACATTTTCGCCCACCCCGTCCCGCGGTAACGCCGGTTGCCCCCCCGGTCACACCGACCGCCACGCAGGGCCCTATTAGTCAACCGAAGTGCGGACCCGTCCCCCAGTCCAGATACCCGCCGAAAAGCGCACGCCCCCGTGGGCCCCCGTCATCGTCCAAGGCCTCGCGGCGCGTTTCTCCCCCTGCCCTCGCCGAGGCCCGCGGCAAAGCGCCGCCCCAGGGCACCGCCAGGCCTGGGCGGCCGCCCGCCGGGCCCCGGAGCCCGAGGCCGCGGGCGGCGACCGAGGCTGTTTGACGGCGCGGCGGAGGCGGCAGGTGGGTGGCCGTGCAGGCGCTGCTGCGGCCCCGGGGGGGCGCGGGGAGAATCGCGAGATGGGCGCGTGGGCTTGGATTTGTGTTGGATTTGTATTTACACCGGTTTGGGAGGCTCTGGCGCTGATGGCCGGTGCGTGCGGAGTACTTAAGTCCTGTCGGGGTGCGGAGCTGCCCACAAGACTGCCCAGCGGGGTGGGGGGCGGGAAACGGAGTCCTGGCGGATCTGGCGGTGGGGGATCGAATGAGATCGACAGGGGAGTGGGCGGGGGCGGGGATCGGCAGCCCGCGGCCGCACCGCGATCTCCCTGGGGGGCCCGACGTTCGCCGCGCACGGCCGTCCCGCCACGAGGCGAAATTCGGTGCGATTCGCGGTGCCCTTCTCGGGGCGGGCGGGTGGGGGCTGGCGCGTCTGCCGCGATGCGCCGCCCGAGTGGTCTGATTGCCGACGCGCCCCCTTCTTCCATGGTTGGATCGCTCGTCGCGCTCGATGCGCAGCAGAGCGGTCGGCGCGGCGGCGGCCAACGCCGTGGGTGTGCATGCACAGGCGCTTCCGGGTTTCGCTCAACCGGCCACAGGGGGAAGGATGTCGTCGAAGGATTGCGCCCAGACGTCAACATCGCAGCCATTGACGGCCAGCCTTGCGGCAGATCAGGGCCATCCGGCGGCCTCCCTCGCCGGCGCCTGTCCCATAGGCGCCCTTGAATGGGTCGGGGAGGAGGTGGCATGCCCCCATGGCCGCAGGGAGGGGCCCAGCACAGGGCAGATGAATAGCCTGGGATCGCCGTCGGTTGTGGACGGGCGTGGCGGTGCGGGAACCAGCCGGGGTGGGCCGGGGCAAGGAGGCCATCAGAGCCACAGGGGCGCTGTAGGAGCGGATGAGGGGCCAGCGGCGACGCAGTCGAGCACGTTCCAAGACTTTGAGGCGGCGTCGCAGCACGGATCGCTGTCAGCGCAATTTGGCTGTCGCTCGCAGCGGGGTGATCATCGACGGGGTGGAAGAGCGGCTGGGTGCACACAAGCACCCGCCCAGGCGGGAGCACACGGAGGAGCACAGGCTGGACATCCGCCTCGAGGCGAGGGTGGGGGATGGAGCTGCATTGCTGGGCGCAATGGACCGCCCAGCGAGCCGCAAGCCAGGAGGCCTGTTTTCAGCAGGCCCTCTGGGAGGAATTTCGATCACGAAGCGCCCACCCTGTGGCCGCAGTCCCCGTCCAGGCATGCCGACAGGGCACAGGAAGGGATGACGCGGCCCGCATACTTCCCCGCACAGCACGCACCCTGGCAGCACAGACCATTGCCCCACCCTGGGTACGAGGACTGGGAGGCGCCTGGCGGCCACCCCCCTTGCCTTCCTTGGTTTTTGGACGCGTGTGGGCAACACTCTGGAGGTCCCTCGCCCTTCACAGATCAGGCGGAAGCGACGGGCTATTCAGGCCTGCCCTATGGGAGCTGGCGCCAGAATTTCGATGAGCCTTGGCGCTGCCCGGCAGGTGGCAGTGGTGGAGTGGCGTTTGGCGGCTGCGGCTATCGGTGGGAGGGACAGCCAGGTGCTGGGATGGCCAACTACCCATCCAGGAGGGAAGCATGGAATCAGGTATGGCCTGTGGCGTTGTTCCTCTTGTGTCATTGGAAAACGTATGAACACATGACAGTGCCACAATGCCAATGGTTGTGTTCTTGAATCGGCAAAAATTGTCAAATCATTGGCCACAGGGCCATAATAAACACATCACATTGGGAGGCAACAAGGGATGCATGGCACACGGCTTTGTTTGTCACAATATTTTGGAATAGGCATGGATGGAAATGCACCCCAGGACCGCACACGTGCACAATAGTATCCCCACCAGAATGGGCATGCCAACACACACCAAGCAGCTCCCCAAATTCGAAATTGTCACAAACGTTAATGGGCTGGCTCGCATCTTTCAATCGCTCACTGAATGTGGGAGCATGCCTCCTACCAGTTGAATTCTTGCGTGACAAACTGATGCGGGAGGCAAGGCACCTTTAAGCTTGGGTGAGCATGTCCTGCGACTTGTCACATCCACCTGCAAGCTTGGTGGAGATCACAATTCCTGTGTGCGCAAAGCAAGTGAGGTACTTCTGGGATACAGTATTGTAAGAGAGCAGCAGATGGTGACAGTGCCGGTGCAGAGCAGGTCTCCCAATATGACCAAACGGAAAGGACCACCAGTATGTGCCAATCTGACTTGCATGCCTGCTGGTGTTCAGGGTGGGTACACCACGGACATGGGCTGTGAGAACATGTTTCCCAGACACTTTCCACAGCAGGGCCAGTGGCGGCCATGCATGGCAGGCAGGTGAGCACAGTCTTTTTGCCAATTGGCGGGTGGCATACCCAGCATGTGTTGTAGAGTTTTATATTGGCCAGGCGCTGTGCCGAGAGAAGACTGCCAAGATAATCATCTGCTTGGCTTTCCTTGCACCGATCATCATTGCTTTGCCACCCACATTCCCACCTAAACGCTCAGATCATGGATATCACTAGCATCCTGTGGATATTCAAATATGAAAATTTCCTTCAGCTCGCCATATCTGTCAGTGCGTTTTGTATTGTTGCTGATACCAAGCATTATGTGCACGTTGGACACAGATTTGGATGCTTCCCTTTGATTCCCCTGCGCAAGTTGCCCTGTTGTGGTTATTGGTCTTATGGCAGTTGCCAATTTTCTCAGTACCTGTTTTTGTGGAGAAAAATTCCCTGGCCTTTGGCATGTCCAGTTGCCAACAATGAACACTCGATATTCAGTTTCTGTATTGTGTGCTCTTGTGTGTTGCCAAACTGAATAGAGCATCTTGCATTTTTGGAAACAACAGATGTATAACAATATAATGGGCATTCCAGCAGAATAGCAGCCAATTGCAGTTCCAGCGCTGTGCCGGATCAGTACAACAGGCAAATACCCTATCTCGGCCAATGCCAGCCATTTTCATAGACAACCGTGGCAGCACAATCGTCTCTGAGAAGTGCCCCTGCTGGTTTCAAAATCCAGTCAATGCCTATCCCAGTGTGAGGCTCTGGGCCACTCCAATTCCACTGTATCCACCAAACACAATAACTTGGCTATCAGGTGGACACAACCATTCACACAATCGGAATGCAGCCTGAGCAGGAGAATGGTTCACCATCCTTCAGCCCTTCACATCTGCCAGACAGGACTTCGCTTTGTCTCTGATGCTTTGTTCTCCTCACAGTGCAATGCCCACACCGCCTCCTCCACACCTGCAAGCTATGAGTGGAATGCCTGCTCACATGCACCAGGCTCTGCTCCCGCCGCCCCCGCCACCCCCGCCACCCCCACCACGGCGACCATCACACCAAAGGTCGCACAGTGCATTCACCCCTCGTCGTTCCCATCGCAGTGGTCGACATGGTCAAGATGGCAGGCAGCCAGACTCAGGTGGGTCCAGGGGGCTAAATGTACCCCCTTCGACTTGTTTGCAGAGCTTGCTACTTTCAGGATTAAGCAACTGAGTAATATGTGGGATGCGCCCAAAGCTGCTCTCTCTAATTTTAAATGCCCTGGATCGTAGTGCCGAACGCTGTTGCATTTGCCCCTGTGAAGTGCTGGAAGTGCAATATATGTGTTTTGCATATTATGCAATGAATGCAATCAATGTAACAAATATGCATAAAGTAAGTGTGATGAATATATTGCAGTATGAATGTATTATATGTCTATGGGGAGGAAGAGCTGTGCAGTGCTTGATGTGGGGGCCTTCTGTCCAGCATCCTGTCCAAGGTCAACACGATCAGTCACCGATGGGGAAAATGGAGTTCGTTGGTGTCAGACTCAAAGAAGCTTGCCAGCGTTCTTGTAGGTTGCGCATTGCAATCAAACATGTCGATCAAGCTGCAGCCAGTGCCTTTCTCATGCATGAGTTCCTCCCTTGTTGAATGCACAGATTGGTCTTGTGTGGTTATTCTGGTGTGCTCAAAATGCCTATGAAAGAGCCCAAGAGTGATTCGCCATTAATTAGCATCAATGATAAAGGCGCCAGAAGTACTGAATGCTGGAATCACCGAGTGCTTGTTCACTTGCTTGATTGACCCTGCACTGCCCCTGTTGCCTTATCGCGGTGTCTGGATTCAGCAGGCACCAGCGAGGCATTCAGGCATTTTGGCATACCTGGGAGCGGCTATGGGGAGATGGCTGCCTATGGCTTTCAATACGACTTGGAACTCGATCGGAGGAGACGACGGCCAGGGGGTACGAATGAATCGCGCTGGCACTGCCTGGCGATGGCTCTGCAGCATGCTGTGGTGGGACCTGCGGCTGCCAGGCCATTCCAGATGGTGATGCAGGTGTGTGGATGAATCTGGTCATTGCTATTCATGGCCAAATGCTGGCAGCTTTCAAGGTATTGACAACGTATTATGGTGCCTTTGTTAGTTGTCTGTCTATAGGCAATGGGATGTCTGATTGCCCGTTCCATGTGCTCACTTGTTCTATTGCATCCCCACTCACGCTCATGCTTTTCTCAGCGTTTCTCTTCTTTCTTCCCACGTTTTGTTGCTTATCCATTCTGTTCAATCGTGCCCTGGCTCTCGATCACAAATTACTATCATGGGGAAGAGTGTCAAGTGCAGAGACTGTTTATGTCGCTTTTATCAGCAGGCATGGTGAATGCAAGACTCGATTGCAAGATTTGCACAGGTCCTCCCGGAACCCCCATGCTGGGGGCACCCCCCCCTCCCCCCCCCTTGCTGGGGGCACCCCCCCCCCTGCTTTCCCTTCAGCCCTTGCTGACTGCATCCTCTGCCGTCCCTTCCTCCAGAATTTCATGGACTGCGGCCCCAGGGACGGCCTGACCTCCGACCAGTTCGCCCATATAGACGAGATAACCGTGGGCAAGCAGCTGTCGATCGAGGATCTGACGTCCCTCATGGACACCGACTCGCCCCAGTGCTGCATCTGCATAGAGGGCTTCAAGGCTGGGGACAGGGTTCGCATGCTGCCCTGCAACCATCAGCACATGTTCCACACCATCTGCATCTGGGGCTGGGTCAAGGAGCACCACGAGTGCCCCATCTGCCGCGGCGACCTCAAGCTCTTGTTGGGGATGATGGGCGCCGATTCAAGGCGGCACCCAGAGGGCCCTGAACCCCCGCACGGGCCCCAGGATCCGGCTGCCCGCCGCCACGCCCAAGATGACCGTTTTCCCGAACGCAGGGACGGCTCCAGACCGCCAGAGTGGTACCTCGAGTGGCTGTACGGCCAGTCGTCGGCCGGGCGGGGCAGGCAGTCGGCGCCTGACCCCCCTCCGCCCACCGGGACCCGTGGGCGGGGCTTGTGGTCCCCAAGGGACGGGGACCCGGGCCGGGGCCCAGAGGACCAGGCGGGGCCGTCGCGCAAGGAACAGCGGGGGGCGGGCGGCGGCAGGTGCGCCGCGCATGCCCACGGCCGATCGCGCCGGTCGACGGCATTTCGCGATCCTGCGCCGCCGTTCGAGGGGCTCCCGCCACAAGGGGAGGATGGCAAGGTGGGCGGCAGCGGCGCACACGTTGGGGGCCATGAGCATCGACCCAGGAGCCTCCGACCGCGGGAACCGAATCAGATCCCTCAATCGCAGCGGCCGGGGGTCGCGTCTGCGCCCAGGACGCCGATCGGGCAAGGATCGACTCCGCCGCCGGCCGGCGGCGATCGGGAGGGGGATGGCGAGTCGGAGGATGCGGACTGCAGCAGCCGGCTGTCGGTGAGGGACCCCGTGGTGTCCGGCCCGCCCAGGGGGTCCCACAACAAGGCGGTGGGGTCGCCTGTGGCCCGCCCCGGGGCGCGCGCCAAGGTGCGCGCCAGGCACCGGTCCGCGGATGCCGGCAGCTGCTTCACGGGCGCGGGCGAGGGCACGGCGCCGTGGTGGGCGCTGATGGAGGACGGGCCCGGGGCGCCGGACCCTGGGGACCGCGAAGGGGGCCCCAAGGGCGGTCCCGGGGGGGCGGAATCGGAGCGGGAAGGCGAGGAGGGGGCCGTTGGGGGCTGGGGAGGGCCGCCCGATCGGGAGCATCAGCGATGAGGTGCCTGTGGCGGTGAAGGAACAGGTCCCGCGTACTCAGCAATGAAGAAAAGGCAACTTCCTCTGCAATTTGGAGATGAAGAAAAGGACATTTCCTGCGTATTTAGAGGTGAAAGAAATGTGTGCACGTCGCCGGCCTTGATGTTGCCAGAATGTGGATGTGGAGGCGGTGTGATGAGTTGAATTCTTTTTCTTTGAACAAAGCGGCGGTCTTGCACCCCGAAGGTGATTATGGGCGTGCGTATATCCAGGAATATTTTTCTATCCTTCATCCACTGGCTCTAGCTGCTCGCCACCTGTCTGCAGGTGTGATGAGCGAACTTGGGATCGTCTACTGAGAGGTGAGGGCTGCGCTACCTACATAGGAACAGTGAGTGGACTCTGGCGACCGATGTTACCTTGGGGCACAGGCGATTCGATGCTTGGCTAGCGGTACTGACAGTAGGGGACTTTTTTTCACTGGTGCCACCAACAAGACCCCAACACAGTTTTGACATTGAGGAAGGGCGGAAGCTGCTCTTGAGAGTTTCTTTGACCAA